TAACGAAACGTAACGAAACGAAACGTAACGAAACGTAACGAAACGTAACGAAACGTAACGAAACGTAACGAAACGTAACGAAACGTAACGAAACGTAACGAAACGTAACGAAACGTAACGAAATGAAACGAAACGAGTACATCAACTGTTTGTTTCCCTATTCCTTTCCAACCAATAGCAACGAGGATATACTTGACCTTGCCGGTTGACAGGTCCTTTTGACTCCGCCATCTTGTATACGGCTTGTTCACGTGAACGATGATGGATATTAACATCTGATGGATATTAACGAAGATATAAAGTGACAAGCGAGAACTGACCTTTGAACTGCGCATGTGCACATGCCATCTAGATGACATTGTCATCTACCATTTTCAACGTTCAAATCCGATCGATATAATGCATTTTTTTTTGGGGTTTGGTTCCGGTTCTAGTTAACCAAATTAGAACCAACCATATTCCTTTCATAAACAATGACGTCACTTATAACCATTTGGTTAACATTTTTGAACCAGCCTCGCGAGTCGGTTCTAATTTGCGGTATGTTCTATCCTTATTTAAATAGTATTCTTCTCATTGTCTAACTTTTTAAATTTAGTTTTCCCGCGGAACCTAAATAGTTCCGTACGAGGTCAACTAAGAAAATAGATCTTACTAGACACTTTTCTTATAAATATGAATAAGGAAAAAAGAACTTAGACAATAATGTTAATAAAAGTAAAATATGTAGTGATCGACAAAACTTCCTAGAAATGTTTATTATTCGAGATGAAATCTTCAAGGGCGTGTGTGTGTTTATTTTAACACCATTAAGATTAAGTCTTGGACTGAAATGAGATTCAAAAAATGTGCCACTATTTTTCAAAAGAAGATTATCATTCTGTTTATCGCTAGAAAAAGGTCTGCATCGTTTGTTAAATGCTTTGTCGGTAGTGTCGGTTTTATTTCTGTTTTATTTTAAAGAGTTTTAAATTAGTTAGTATTATTTTCGTCTGTTAATTGCCCTGTCGGTAGTGTCTATTTTATTTATATTTTATTTTTATATTAAAGACTTAAGTTAGTTAATATTTGTTCTTCTATATCATATAGCTTTAGTGTTTTCTTTGGCAAATAACTAACTACACACAAAAATTAAAAGAAAATAAAATTGAGAACTAACTTTAAAAATGAGTCACACGTGGTATTTAAATTTACACCAAAATGACATATGACTGACCGAACCAATAACCCAATTCATTCCATTGGCTTTTGTTATGACGTCATCCATATGAACCAAAATCTGAACCGCTGTCAAAAATACTGTCAATTTAACGTCAACCATAACCAGAACCATACGTCAAAGGAAAACGACTATTAACGAAGATATGAAGTGACAAACGACAACTGACTCTTGAACTGCGCATGTGCGAAATGACACCTAGATACCATTCTCTACACGTAGCCGTTTGAATCGCTAAGGCCCTTCTGGCTTTACACATGAGTTTTCTGTTCAACATTCATCATTCTCTTCATAATGTCGTTTTTCTCGTTTAAATCAGACCACGTGATACACGCTAAGGCCCTTCTGGATTTTCGTTCTACGCAAATTTTCTTTTCGACGCCAATCAATACTGAGTTATCTTCATAATGCCATTTTCCTCGTTTAAATCGGACCACGTGATGCACGCTAAGGTCCTTTTATGCATGCTTTTTATATTTGACGTCAATCAATATTGAGTTATCTTCATAATGCCGTTTTTCTCGTTTAAATTGGACCAACGATAGCTGAGATATACGCTAAGGCCCTTCTGGCTTTACACAAAAATTATATTCGACGTCAATCAATACTGAGTTATCTTCATAATGCCGTTTTCCCCGTTCGAATCGGACCAATAGCAGTGAAGATACGTGCTAAGGCCCTTCTGGCTTTTCGTTCGATACAATTATTCGACCTTAATCTATACCACGATCTCTACATAACCCCGTTTCCCTCCCGTTTAAAAAGTACAGAAACAGAAATAATTAAAAAACAAAGAGCATTTAGAAAAAAGAAAATCGTTTTTCCCTAATTTAAGCTAAGCTTTAAGATAAGCATGCGTTGCGTGCGTTGCGTGCGTTGCGTGCGTTGCGTGCGTTGCGTGCGTTGCGTGCGTTGCGTGCGTTGCGTGCGTTGCGTGCGTTGCGTGCGTTGCGTGCGTTGCGTGCGTTGCGTGCGTTGCATGCGTTGCGTGCGTTGCGTGCGTTGCGTGCGTTGCGTGCGTTGCGTGCGTTGCGTGCGTTGCGTGCGTTGCGTGCGTTGCGTGCGTTGCGTGCGTTGCGTGCGTTGCGTGCGTTGCGTGCGTTGCGTGCGTTGCGTGCGTTGCGTGCGTTGCGTGCGTTGCGTGCGTTGCGTGCGTTGCGTGCGTTGCGTGCGTTGCGTGCGTTGCGTGCGTTGCGTGCGTTGCGTGCGTTGCGTGCGTTGCGTGCGTTGCGTGCATTGCGTGCGTTGCGTGCGTTGCGTGCGTTGCGTGCGTTGTGTGCGTTGCGTGCGTTGCGTGCGTTGCGTGCGTTGCATGCGTTTCGTGCGTTGCGTACGTTGCGTGTGTTACGTGCGTTGCGTTAACAAAGATATACGTTCGATGCCCTTTTGGCCTGTCACTGCGTAGGTGGTCCGTCACTGTGCATGATTTTTCTGTACGACGTTTTTTTTTACATATTGACGTTTTTCCCCGTTTGAATCGGACCACGTGATACACGCTTAGGTCCTTTTGACATTGCGCATGTGCACTTGCGAATGGCTGAAGATACGTGCTAAGGCCCCTTTGACATTGCACAAGATTTTTCTCTTTTACTGGACATTTTACGTTAATCGTTCTTTTCATAATGTCGTTTTTCCCGTTTAAATCGGACCAATAGCAGAGAAGATACACGATAAGGCCCTTATGGCATTGCGCATGATTTTTATATTCAACGTTCATCATTCTCTACGTAATATCATTTTTCCCGTTTAAATCGGACCAATAGCAGTGAAGATACGTGCTAAGGCCCTTGTGGCATTGCGCATGATTTTTCTGTTAAAGGAGATTAATTTTTTCATTATTTTTCCCTTACTGTGTACGTTAAGACCTTTTCAACGACGTATCACATGTTTTATATTTTATAAGCATGAGGGGGTCGTGGGGGTAAAGGAGGGTAGGTGGAATTTTTTCATTATTTTTTCCTTACTCTGTACGTTAAGACCTTTTCAACGACGTATCACACACTATGATTGATCAATTTTTCAATGAGGGGGTGGTTCGCGGGGGATGAAAGGGGGCAGTTGGAATTTTTTCATTATTTTTTCCTTACTCTGTACGTTAAGACCTTTTCAACGACGTATCACACACTATGATTGATCAATTTTTCAATGAGGGGGTGGTTCGCGGGGATGAAAGGGGGCAGTTGGAATTTTTTCATTATTTTTTCCTCACTCTGTACGTTAAGACCTTTTCAACGAGGTATTACACACTATAAGCGTTAATGCCCTTTCGACTTTGATGGTAATTCTTTCGTTGGAAATGACAGCTAGATGGCAGTTCACGCTGAATGCCGTTTGTCCCGTTTGAATAGCAATAAAGATACACGCTTAGGTCCTTTTGGCAATGCGCATGTGTAGTTGCAAATGGCAACTATATATATCACGTAGAATGACGTTGATTATATACATCATCTTGTAAATGATTATTGAATGTCCTCGTGGCCGAGCGGTCTAAGACGCAGACTGGTAATCTCTAGGTCGGTGGATCGATCCCCCGTGTAGTCAGATTTTTTTTAATAAAAAAAATGGTTTAAAAATAAAATTATATTAAAATGGTGTATGGTGGGTTGCTGTGATATCCAATAATGATCGTGTATAGAATGAGAGATGGATGACACGTGACTAAACAATTAAAAAGCAATTAAAAATCGATTTGCTGTACACGACACGTGACTAAGCAATTAAAAATCGATTAGTAGATAAGAATTGCGTGGGCGTGGCAGTTAATGACGTCGGTATCATCAAAGGAAAATTTGGTTCCCACGGTCAGTAAAAAGTTCCCAGTCCCAACCGCCGGAACCCCTGCTCCTCTTCTTTGGTAGATTCCGAAGGCTGTAGTTTTTGAATATGAATAGTCATCATTTAATACCTCATCTAGTGTTATCATCTGCTATGTTACTTAATATATGTATTAGAAATAATGACATAAACAATAAATATATTGAAGAAGGTTCAACTTATGATTTTTACAATGAAAATTTTAATACAAATGATTTTTTAGATCTTCACAATGATGCCAAAAGTAAAAGGAACCAGTTAGCTAGAGAACTATTCGTATCCAAAAACTAAAGTTTGCATTTGATTTAAATCTGTAAATGTTTTGACAATTTTGATTTTTTTTATAAAGTATTAAAAACTAGTTATTTAAATGTATATATTTTATTTGGAACCCCTTATGCCAAGTAAGTAAAAACAGTATTTCCTTAATAAATTTATTTAATAGAAGAAATAACATTTTTTTAATAAAACCAAACAAACTTATTTCGCAGCTCCATTAGTATTATAATATATAGTATATACACAATGAGTCTAAAAAAGGCTGTGTCCTTTGAAAAATTTCTGTTTAGTGCAAAATTGTTGAACAAGTATATTTATTTATTTTTTAGAAGTTCTATTAAGGCATCCATTTTATTCGAAAATGTATTCAACATATTCTGTTTAAACTCCAAATTATCTTCATGTCTCTTCTGCCTCTTTTCGTCTTTTTTAGCTTCTGTATCTTCTATTTTTCCAACAATGTTTTCTAATAATAATTTGTAGTAACCTTTTTTTTAACAGTTTTTTCAATATTTGTTTCATTACTTGTCCCTGGCCTTTGTTGGTCTTCACCGAGTATATCATGAGTATCGTCAATTTCTGATATACTTTGGTGCCCTGTGTTTGATGCCAGGCTCACTGGTTGAACATTGGGTTTTTTTGCAAATATATCGTCCATTTCTTCCAAAAATTTAAATTGTACTCTTGCCTAGCCATTTGCACCTCCCTTCATGTTATCTTTTTTTAACATGTATTTTGACTTTAAATATTTAAATTTGAACATACACTGGTTTTGTGTATAATTAAAACCATTAGCTATTAGCTCCTTCAAAACACGACTCCAAACTTTAACATTTCTTTCTTTGGTTGACAAAAACTCTTCCAAATGTTCTTTGTATGTCTGAATAAGAAATCTAATTGCATCGTCGGTCCATTTCAATAGTCTTAATTCTATTGAGTTGGTGTCTTCCTCAGTTTCTTTTATCTGGTCTTTCTCAACTAAAAGTAAAAATATATGAATACATTTTTATTACAGAGTTTAAAATACAGTTTATGCCACTTTTGATTATTTTTCTGATTAGACTAAAAAGTAATTTTAGTAAAAATCGTATCTTGATAATTTTCAAAATTGTTATAAATATGAATTCAAAATATGATGATCAATAATTTAATTATATTCAGTGTTCCTTCGTTGCAAATAAGAAAATCTTCCAATAAAATGAAAACAAAACTACTTTTTTTACTCACTTATTTGTAAATAATTATTCTCATCGGCAACCAAGTCGTGTTGGTATGGATTGTAGTTTTGGAAACATTCGTGCTCATAATTTTCATGATGTGAATAAAAAAAGAAACGATAATAACTGCATTTATAAAGTAAATCCTACCAGAAATTTTAGATCATTTATTTTATAACTATCATAATTTAAAAAAATACCATGTTCTTCACACACAATAAAACATAAAACAACAACTTCTGTAAAAGATCTTTAAGTTCTGTCAAATTTACTAAAATTAACCCAGTCTAGGGTACAAGAGAGTGCGCTCTAAACTAATTTGACTCGAGTTTCTGTACGAGAGTAGTTAAATATCCAAATTGAACGCTTAACTGTTCCTGAACAAACCAAGAGCAAATTGAGCACGCTATTTTTTGTCGAGGCGTATTTTCTGAACGCGCTTCAGCTGTTGTAACAACGGTATAACGGTCCCTGATTAGGAGGCTACCTCTGTGTCAAATGGAAGTCCATAGCAAGGTGTCTGTCTCTTGTTTCAACTCTACGAAACTAGCTAACGTGATCGTTTCATTTCAATTTTTCTTGACATGTTGTTTAGAGAGAGAAAAAATGTCGATTTTCATTTAATCGCATTAGATTAAGAGAGACAATGAATAAGTTTTTAGTGTAGTCAAAAAGCAAGACGACAAATCGAGAAGAGTTTGTGCATTTTTCAGTGTTGACCACGTGTAAATTGAAAAATTGTTTCTATAAAAAAAATAGCGGAAAATGAGAGTGCAAACGGAACATTAGGCCCTTCTGCTTGATTTTGACAAATACATTTAATGGGACTGTCGGAAAAATAATAGGTCATGCCCTATGGCAAATTGCTACTGAAAAACTAAATAGTTTGGGCTTTGGAACTAAGTCTGTAGAGGAGTGGAGAAGGATAAGTTTCAACATTGATTTTGTATTATCTATGATTACATACATCGTTTCTTGTATTGATTTACTTTAGTCACTGATAAGATTGCTTGGGGTCTTACAAACTCCAAACTAGTGTCACTTTCTTTGGACGATCCTGGTTGAGGCTCGGGCATATTCCTTTTAATGGATGGCCCTGGTTGAGGCTCGGGCACCTTCTCTTTAGTGTAGTCAAAAAGCAAGACGACAAATCGAGAAGAGTTTGTGCATTTTTCAGTGTTGACCACGTGTAAATTGAAAAATTGTTTCTATAAAAAAAATAGCGGAAAATGAGAGTGCAAACGGAACATTAGGCCCTTCTGCTTGATTTTGACAAATACATTTAATGGGACTGTCGGAAAAATAAGAGGTCATGCCCTATGGCAAATTGCTACTGAAAAACTAAATAGTTTGGGCTTTAGAACTAAGTCTGTAGAGGAGTGGAGAAGGATAAGTTTCAACATTGATTTTGTATTATCTATGATTACATACATCGTTTCTTGTATTGATTTACTTTAGTCACTGATAAGATTGCTTGGGGCCTTACAAACTCCAAACTAGTGTCACTTTCTTTGGACGATCCTGGTTGAGGCTCGGGAATATTCCTTTTAATGGATGGCCCTGGTTGAGGCTCGGGCACCTTCTCTTTAATGGACGATTCTGGTTGAGATTCGGGTATCTTCTCTCTAACCGTCTGTACATTTTTGTCCCCGTTTTGTTGAATAGGTTCCGTTTGAATTTCAGGCACACTGGGATTAATCTCTAAGTCAGTTGTAGCTGATGGCAAGAAATCTGCTTTAAAACAAACGGCCATATCGACAGGCCACACGCTAGTTGCTTTAAAACTATTCATTGAAGTCACCATTGTAGCTGCTCTTAAATATGCGGCACTGAATAACGAGGAAATTTGTTGAAATGTTACTACTCGACCAGGATGTGTCCACACTATGTAGTCAGTCCAAACAATCTTGCTTCCATATCTTTAAGATAATTAACAAGTTCAACTTCTTGTTCGGGAGTAAAAGCGGGCCGTTGGCGCCTAAAACTTTTGCAACAGAATAACCTGCATTATCTAGTTGTTTCTTTCTCTAAAGTTCACTGAGGAACAGCAAACGAAATAGATGCTCGATACTACCCTTTCTAACCACTTACTACAGCATTTACATTTACAGCCTGTTGCATACTCTCTGTTGACCAATTTTGACGATGAGTCTTTCTTTTATAGGTAAACACCATCTGGAAACAAAAAAATGTTTTTGAACATTTATATACACAATGGGTCGCTGGCCATGTTGAGTTTGAAAAAAATGTAGAAAGGAACTGGTTAATGGAAACTGTTCCTGAAAAGCCCAGGAATAAGCTCCTGTAAACCCGAAAATCGGCCCTGCTCCTTTTTCGAAGTTGCGTTATTTTCTTTAAGGAGATGAATTGAATTCTGGCAGTGGGACCGACCACACTATAGCAAAGTGTTTTTTTGTAAATAACTCTTTTGTATGATGCGTACTAGAAAAAATAGCAACGTACCGCCTTAGCCCTGATAATTATCTTGCAATGTGCAAAAAATTTGGTCGACTAGCTTTATTTTTGGTCGCACAATCTGGGATGGTGATTTTGCCGACCAAAAAGTTCGCAATTCACGGCATCCTAGATTGTGTGGCCAAAAATATTGCTAGACGGCCAATTTTTTGTTTGTAAACAATGTACCTGGTTTTACACACACATTAGGGAAAATCTCGGCGAGAAACACAGTACAACTCCAGACACTTCAGTTCAGTTCTACTTCAAAAGTCAAAGTTGTACGTAATACATAGTTGTATGAAATTATAAAGCGGTCAAGAAAAGTTAACTAAATAAAAACAAAATCAAGCGGTCATTATTTGAAAGCAAAATTGCTCATCCGTCAGCTCGGTGCTCTCACGAAGAGAACAGAAGTAAAATATGTGCTCCTTGTGGTCGAAAAATTGTCGTGGGCAGGAAAACACTAGATCATTTTCTTATAAGTGCAAGATTTTGCGGGCTTATTAAAAAGTTTCTTTGTGAAGATTTCGCTATAACAGATAGCAAATATCCACTCAGCATTTGTGGAACTTGCTCTTTAACACTCAACGAAATGGAACGAGGAATTACAAAACGGCCGGCTATATGCTTTCCAAATTATGGAGATATTATTTTGCAAAAGGAAACTCGGCGTAATAGTGTACTTGCGGCAGAATGTTTTTGTTATATATGCATTACGGCGAGATCTTTTGCACACCAGACATTATCTAAAGGGCGTGGAAATATTCGTAAGCCCGTCAAGCGGATTGATGCAAATAATGGAGTATCCGGGATTCTATCGAGGAAAATAGAACGGGTCAGTATTTCTGATGATCAGAAGTCGCAGAAAAAAAGATCAGGGAACGGCAATGATGCGACTTTACACATTTGTAAAAAGTGTTTTCAAGAAGTTTCAAGAGGCAAAAATCATCCGTGCGTTAAACCTAATAACACAGCTGCGTGCAGTGTAAACATTGTGAAATTGATGGACAAACTGCCCGAAAATAGAAAAATGCAAGTCGTTTCGGATGCGATAAATGAAAAAATTACTGAAACTCTTACTCTCGGACAAACTCGGATCCCTGTAGGGATTGAACTGAATTTAAATACCCGGGGACCAAAAACGACAATATGTGTGAAGCCGAGAAGGAAAAAAAGTCCCGAATTTCCAGTTGAGAGTCTTGCAAATTTCAAGACGAACACGGGTTCATCATATAATCAGATGAAGAAATTTGTTACTTTTGTTAGACAATATGCGGGTAAAAAATCTGTACCTTCGTTTGCAGTTCAACAAATTTCCATTAAAGACAAAGCCCTGAGTGACTTTTATTTTGATAGTGAGTTCGAGTTTGATACTCCTGGTAGTAAGGGACCACGAGAAAAACGTCCATGTATTTGGGCTGATGCACAGGAGCTTGTCGAGGCAGTCGTGGATGAAAGAAAACTTGTAGGAAGCTACACTGTGAAAGTCATGGCGGATGGAAGCCAAGGGTTTTTCAAAGTGTGCTTTTCACTTTTACCGGACACCGATAGTGACTTGGATGTGCCAGATGACACACTTGGTGAACCGGAAACAAAAAAACCTAAGATGGAACATGTTGGCACAAAAGCCAAATTAACAAGTGTGAAACGAACAATAATTTTATGCATAGTGCCAGATATAAAAGAGACCTATTACAATTTGCACTTTTTATTTAATCTTATTAATATCAATATAATTTCTTTTCGATTTGTCTCTGATTTTAAAGTTTTGCTGATTATAAATGGACAGCAAACAGCAACTTCCAGTTTTCCTTGCCCCTATTGTTATGTGCCCTTAAAAGATCTCCGAAATGCTGACAATGCACAGTCAGAAAAAAGTTTAACATTAAAGACTTACGGGGACTTAAAGGAGGATTATCAAAGATTTTGTGCTCTAGGTAAAAATATTAAACAAGCTAAAGAATCTCACAGCACGGTCAACCTACCAATATTTAACGAGAATGACGACACATATGTATTAGAAAAATGTATAATACCAGAGCTCCACATTTTGCAAGGTTTTGTCAACCATGTATTCTGGGATGGTTTAGTGCCTCTATTAGGCCGAAACACGGCGCTTCTGTGGCCGGAAAAGCACAATTTGGTACAAAAAGGGTATCATGGTGAGGTATTTGAGGGCAATGCCTGCCGGAAGCTTCTCAAGGAGGCGGATAAACTTAAGCATCCATAAATTTTAATCAACGTCAATGAACTGCATTCGTGCCCTGCAAATAATGAACCGAATCGTAGACTCTTGTTTCTCTACTAAAGCAGTTGATGCACATTTAGAAAGACATATCCGCGAACTGGAATCGGTTTTCAAAGCTACAGGATTGACGGAAACGCTCAAAATCCATGTGCTAGTGGCACACACCAGCGAATGTGTCCAATTTTTGGAGGGAGAGGGTTTGGGAACCTGGTTCGAGCAGGCGGGGGAATCCATTCACCGAGAATTCTTGAAATTTTGGGAAAAGTATAAAATCAACGCAATTAATGCTCCACAGTACTTGACCAGATTGAAAGCTGCAGTTACTGAATTTTCTTCAAGTCATTTATAAATAAAAGTTATAATTCTTATATATTATAAACTAGTGAAAACATTGTTATTCAAAAGCTGGGCACTATGTTGTTATGGGAGTTTCTATTTTCTTCCACAATAAATATCGTCATATATCACACAATTCACTGAGAACAATTCATTCTAAACCTTCCTACTTTAAAAAAAAAATCTGATTGGTCAGAATATACACTTCACCTCCAGATTGCGGTGGGAGGACTAGACTATAGCAAAGTGCTTTTTCGTAAATAACTCTTTTGTATGATGCGTAATTGAAAAAATGGCTACGTACCGCCTTAGCCCTGGCAATTATCTAGCAGTCTGCAAAAAAATTGGCCACCTAGCAATATTTTTGGCCACACAATCGGGGATGCCGTGAATTGCGAACGTCTTGGTCGGCAAAATCGCTATCCTAGATTGTGCGACCAAAAATAAAGCTAGTCGACCAAATTTTTTGAACATCGCTAGATAATTATCAGGGCTAAGGCGGTACGTTGCTATTTTTTCGATTACGCATCATACAAAAGAGTTCTTTACAAGAAATCACTTTGCTATAGTGTGGTCGGTCCCACTGCCAGAATTCAATTCATCTCCTTAAAAAAATAACGCAACTTCGAAAAAGGAGCAGGGCCGATTTTCGGGTTTACAGGAGCTTATTCCTGGGCCTTTCAGGAACAGTTTCCATTAACCAGTTTCTTTCTACATTTTTTTCCAACTCAACATAGCCAGCGGCCCACCGTGTATAACAAGTATTAGAAATTAAAAATTTTAAAAAACCGACCACCCCTGAGGTACCCCCTTACTAACAAAAAAAAAAGAATCATATAAATCGCACAAGGTGGTAAAGCATTATCGCTAAACATACATAAAAAATGAAGAGTTTGAGGATTGTCTCATGGACCCAATTATTAGATTTTGACCAAATTTATATAGGACCACCCCTGAAGTACCCCCTTTATAACAAAAAAGAATCATTGAAATCGGACACCTTGTTAAAGAATTATCGCTGAACATACATAAAAAAAAAATATCGCGACGAATTGAGAACCTCCTCCTTTTTTGAAATCGGTTAAAAATAGGACTCAAGGTGGATTTTTTCTAAAGACATAGTTGTAATTGAGTTAAAAAAATTATTTCTAATAAAATAAATAGGTCATAACCTATTATAGATAGGGCAAAATGGGGTTCCCTATTTTACCCTACCTATTGGTATCCCCTTTTTGCCCAATGCGGAGATTTTTAGGTTATGACCTATTTACTTTATTAGAAGTATTTTTTTAAACACAATGACAAAGAAAATTTTCAGAAAACAATCACATTTAATTGGCAATAATGTTATTTAAAAATAAATTGGTTTACTACTACCTACGGTGAATTTATTTTCGGGCGATATTAAAACTTTGTTTACTAAAATCGCACATGTACTACCCACAACAATCGACTGGCAACTACTGATTGCTGTTTTATGGCAGAGACCGTAGACACGTGTTTATAATATAATTTCATTAACGTCATATAGATGGAGCCAGTGGTAAAATATTGGGGTACCCCGTTATAGGCATCTACCCCGTTATGCCCACCTATCCCCTATAATGCTATAGTATTTTGCTATTAGAAATTTGAAAAAATATACTTAGTTTAGAACAACATGAATTTACCATAAATCCGGAAATATGACAATATTTTGTATAAATTAAATCGTAATAAAAAGAATCACCAATTGTGTGTGTAGGGGAGCATGGTATATATTGGGACATTTTTTTTCTTTGTGCCATATTTTAATTAATTTTAATTAAGAAAAAATATCAGTCGGAATATGTTATACTTGTTGGTAATGGTTACCTAAAAATTTGGATTTTACCAGAAAAAGTCAAGTGTCCCAGTATACACTCCCTGTCCCAATAAGAACCACCCCAGTGGTACTTACCGGGACAAGACATGGTACACTATGAGACAGCAATTTAATTCATGTTAAAATGTACTTTTTTATCCTAAACTGCAAATATTTTATAAAATCTTAATTACAAACGAAAGAACAAATATTTTACAAAAATAATAGAAAAAAATTTCAGTAATAACAATTTAACTCAAAACTTAACTCATTCAAAAAACTTCAAAATAC